TTAGGTGAGTACCCCACAATATTCAAAGTTCACTGCGCTGAAAAGAAAATGTATGGCGCCGGCAAGTGATGTAAAGCAGCTAAAATTATCTCCGGAAATTGGTTAAATACATTTATAGAAGGCCTGTAATACAATTTTCATTCGTAATTACTTTTACTTAGCGGAAGCGGGAACATTTAGTTCAAACGTCAGATTTAATTGTATTAGCTGATAAAATATTGCCATCAACCATTTACGTGGAAATATTGATACATTTCTTGTTTACGCATTTTTTAATATGCAAAAACCTTAAAAACCGAGAATATTATAAAGACAAAATCACTTATAAGTAAAAAAATAATAATGAGAGCTCCGTAGTTAGCTTAATGTTGTATACGGACTACCGTGGTTTCGCTTTATGTAGGTACATTCTAAAATAATTATAACTCTCTTGGCTTTTGATCGTTTTAGAAAAAGGACACGCTTATAGAACGAGCACCGTACATTGTCACATCGGGGTAATCCCCGAACTCGTTCTGGTCCAACACAACTTTCCAACAATGGTTGGCGATTGCAGGATATTCTTTCCAGACCCTGGATGATGTTTCATTCTCTTGAGGTAGCTAATCTAGCAGAGACTGGCAACGTAGGTACTTTTATATGGTAAAGCAAAGGTGTAAAGTTTTATTTTTGAATACAGTGAGGGTATTAAACTTTATTTGCTTCAGTAATGAGGGCTACTAAGTACATATGTATTATATACACAATGTCACGACGAAACCGCAAAAGCTGCTAACGATAAAACTTCCCGTCCTTTATTTTAGAATTCTCAACAGAGTTTAGAATTCCACGTGTGACATTCCGCATAAAAAGTGGAACTATATTCCGATAATAGGTTAGATTTGAATGAGACTAGGATTGAATAGAGAGCATTATAATAATAAAAAGCAGGATGTCGGTAGCTGAGTAGGGTCAGGGCTCTCGACTACAAATAGCTCTAACAATGCCTTGTTCATAACCTTTTCTATATCGATCGTATGAATGTTCTGAATACATTAGACGAGCCGTATTCTGAATACAAACAAACGTACAGTGTATTTTTTCTTGAGAAAACACCAAAACAAATATGGCCGATTTCAGACCTAGTGATGACCTCTTATAGTGTAGCTGATGTCACAGATAATACAGGGATAAAGAATCATCGATTATATTTGGACCAAACGACCTCAATATTCAAAATCACTTTTATAGTGGCCTATTTTTTACGCAATTGTGATCGAACTTTAGGAATTTAATTAATAAATGTAAAATTGTACGTTTGATAATTGAATGTTAGGTAATTTTATTAGTTTAATATATAATCTGAGGTTTTAAAGTGTTTTTAGTGTAAATCAATGATAACTAATGTTAATTATAGACGACAGTTTCGTCATCTAGAATTAAATCTCGTCATTTATAGCTAGAACGTCAATGTTGATTTTTTATTAAACAATTTTAACGGTTTATCATACTTATTTAAACCACGGCCCCAAAAACTTGCAAACGGTGAAACCTAACCTTGCAAAGCAATGACTTTATCATTAAAAGTGTTCTATTTACATGTCTTCTACTTGTGTGCACTACGGATTTGAAAATGATTTTTAACTTCGGCTCCCCGTCTCCCCCGTGACTACGGCTGCTGCAAAGCATCCGAAACGTCGTGTCGAAGTTAAAAATAAAAATCATTTTCAAATAAGTTTAACTAATATATCGTGTTTTAAACCGTTAAAGTGTTTTATTTAAATGTGTACTACTCGCGTAAACTATAGATGTATAAATAGGTTTTATAGGTACTATGTACTATTCAACTTACTTACTATTTTATTATATTATTAATATAGAAAAAGTTTTTATAAATAAAGAAATAATAATACTGTCCACGCTGAAGATGTAAATCTGTGGGTTCTAATTTCAGGAGTCACTGATTTACTGGACAAAGTTTTTAATTTTGTTACAACTTCATCCATCTTCATCATCATACCTTGGACTGAACACTTAACAGCTGTCGTTGTTTGTATTATCTTTAACATGATCCCTCACTGAAAGCGACGTCATCATGACGTAAAAATTATGAAAGATTTTCAACAAAAAATTTTCAGCCTCGAAGATCGGTCCGAATATGCATGAAGTTTGTTTATAATTTAAATATTAAACGCATGGTGTGTATCATATTAAAATAAAAAATAATAATTAAAAGAGAGAAATGGTTTTTAATTTATTTACATTGAGATATGTATCCAACACCTATTCTCTTGTTTAATTTATTCTATATTTGATTTGATTTGATTAATTATATATATACACGAGAGACACACCACACAAATGTTATCAATATCCAAAGATAAAAAAAGTCGACGACCCATCCTGTTTAGTAATTACATGGCTGAGGTATATCGCCTTCTATTAAGTAAACTCAATGACCTTTTTGTTTTCTCCCGTAATGTATATTTTTTTTAATTTAAATTTATTACAAAAATTAAGTAGAAATACTTACCAGCAATTAGTGCTTTTAGCGCACATTAGTGCCTGTTTAACAGAAATTAATTCCGAACACTGAATGAAGGCTGTAAATTAATAAACGCCCGAACGCAATTTAAGTGCTTACAGAGAGAAAATTTCACAATGGCACAAACATTGGAAATAAACTGTACTCAAATTGAAAATTACGCGAGGTAATTTATTATTCTTTTATAACCCTTTCTCTTTATGCGCCTCAAAGTGCTCGTGGGCTTACAATGTATTTGTCCTTACATATAGAGTCGTAACTGAAATACTCAATACATTTTGAAATCCCGATATTTTACAGTAGTTTACTGAAATTATATTTCCCCGGAATTCAGAAAAAAATAGAATAAAAAATACTTTATTCTCTTTAAAATTTAAAAAAATGTTTTATATTCTTCACAAAAATTTTTGTTTGTCTGTCTGTTCGTCGCGATTCTACAGAGTGTTCAAAAGAGCAACATAACTCAGAAGAACACACAAACAAACTTAGTCCGGCTTTTTTTAACATGTCTTATAAACTAATACATTGTGAATTTATTAACCTAAGGAGCAATCCATATTACTGCCAGACGGTCTTGTCATTAAAGAAATCGTTCAGACAATAGTACGCCTTTTGAGACAATCTCAATATTATAACTTTTTAAAATTTATTTATCGATATTTTTAAACCTCGTATTAAACTAAAATACGAAGCGAAAACACTTAATAATCATGTCACACTAGCTGTTCTCAATTCTTTTACTAATATTTTATTTCGGGAATCAAACTGATTGATAAGGATAGAAATCCCTCGGTAAGACGGCTAAGAAAATAGCTAAATGCCTGACAGCTATTGTTATTGATACTTGAGCTATTGATACCTACCATTATTAGCTTAGTCGTGGACATTAGGATTAGGACATTTGAATTCCCTTGAAATCGTACAGCTTACTTCCGAAAATTGTAAATTCCTTATTATTATAATTTTGGTTTCATAGTTATATGACTTACTTTAAACATTTCGGTAATCAAATCCCTAAATAAATTTGAGTAAGACAAAACATGGATTCGAAGCAAGTATTTTAATGAGACGGCTTAAACATTAGCATTTTAATCTCTGGTTGTCCCTTGAGTGTCTTCAGCATCATAAATTTATTCCATCGAAGTACCTTCGGTATAAATTAGAAAAGGATTTCGACGTAATACAATTATCCACGTTATAAAATTATCAAAGTAAAATCTAATATAATTAAAATAAATAGCAGAGTGGGCAACGAAAAAAAAAGAACTAAATTATAATCAATCAGATCCTATACATACCGCCTTCATTAAGCAAGATTTGTATCCGGGGAAAATATATTTTTCGCCGGATTTCGTCAACTCTACTTGACTGAATGAAAACTCAGTGATATAGACACAGAAATGTGTTTGCCCCAGGCATGGGATTATACAGACCAGATTAAAAATAGAGCAAATCTTCTTTGTACATGAACCTGTGTTTATTGAGATATACTAAAAAAAAAAACAAAATAATAGAAGTACAATTATGTTACAATAATTCGTAGTTAAAATAAAATAATTTTTAGTGCAAACCCCTTAAACTACTTCCCTAAAATATGCACAATATTAGGCAGGGGCTTGGCATTTGTAATTAATTATCAGTCCCAAAAAAGGGAAATATTTAATTCCCCTTTCAAATGAATGAATACCTATGCACAATGATTAAAATAATTACGACGCAATAAATTCATCAATTGAAAACGTTTGTGAAGTGGTGAACTGCAACATACAAATTAATTAAGAATGAAATATCGCTTTCAGCGTGTTTTTTTACTTAATTTTTATTTTCAATAAAATATTTTTCGTATTGCGTCGCACTTAGGTTAATTGGATCGCGCGTATTGATGCTTTATTTAGTCCGTGTTTTTTCTAACTTCCGCCGCAGGCGCCTGATAAAAAAAGCATAGCGTTCTACGTGATTGAAGTTAAAAATCTAGTTTTGAGTCAGGCAGGTTTCATCAATCTATATACAACTATTTAGTAACCTTTATTTAAAGTTTCCTTTACAAGGGACTAGGCGTATATTTGTTTCCAATCTACTGATCGATTTTATTTCTAGTAGGTTTACAAGTTAGATAGCAGACAGAGACGAGACATTTTAATTTTTTTTTTCTGATTGAGGAGAATAGACAAGCATGTACACTTGATGAGATGAAATACCCCAGCCGTAAAACATCTAAACATGATACGCTGTCGATCTATTTTGACTTTAGGGATATTCGGAAATCGACAGACCGAAACGCGGTTAAACTTCACGGGTTTGTAATGAGAGGACGGTAGTTCGTAATTTGGACGGATTTTTGATTTTCCTACCACCGATTTCTTATCAAGATTCCGGATGTAGTCCAATATGTTTTAGAATAATTAAAATTCTTGTGGGAATAGATTCCACGTTTTGTTGCCCGAACCCGTCAAAATAATGTATCCTATTCTTAACTATGGTTAGAACCAGTCACCGCTCGCACTTACGCTATGCTAGGAAATATCCTAACTACAAATTGCGGTTTTATTAGTAAGACAAAATCCATATTATAATGCTTAACATTTACCATATTCACAAAACCTAGATAAGCAAAAAAACTTTAATTATAAGCATTTAAAACTAACCGAACGTTCTAGAAACTAATTATATATTTTTTGTTACAGCCTGTAGGTATATACAGGGGGAAGTACGAATGGGCGAACGAGCACAGCCCGCTCGGCGGAGACTGTTCTCTCTGGGTCAGAGCTGCTACTCTTCAGCTTGATGATGGGCAGTGGCAGTGCCAAGTCACAGCTAGCAATTACGATGTTCAGGTAAGCTGCATATACAGTGTTTAATGTGTTGAACGAAAGATAATTCATTGTTCCGTAGTAAACGCAAGATGGTTTTGTCTCTATGGCTTATACTCAATTGGTTAGAGAAGCAGCACGGATATGGTACCAGTTCAAGTCCCGCTCATGTCATCAAATTCAAATTTTCAGAAAACATATTAATATATAGGTTTAGAGCATTGATCCAGTAAAGGTTAGGAGCTAGGTTTAAATATAACACTTTAACGGTTTAAAAGCGATATATTAGTTAAACTTATTTGAAAAAAATTTTTTAACTTCGGCCCGACGTTTCGGATGCTTCGCGGCAGCTAACTAGTATTCGCGTTTTAAACCGTTAAAGTATTTTATTTAAATGTGTCCTACTCGCGTAAACTAAAGACAGTATTTAAAGCGTTAATTTATTTAACATTACGCTGCAACCAATGGGTAAGTAGAAAAAACGAAAAAACAATAAAAGTTGAAAAGTCTGGGAAATTTATTATTTGAGAACGATCAAAAAATTCCCAAGTATAGACAATCTTTTATGATCAACGTAAAAAAGCCAACGACGTCATGGGTAATAGATATTATTTATAAAGAGAGGAATTACCCAAAAATTAAGTGAATGTAAATAAATTAAGAAGTAGATTTTAATAAACGAGATGACTACGTTTTTGAAGTAAAAATTCACTCATGTACCAATTATATTTTTTGCGTCATGTACTTACCATTAACTTCCAGGATGCCCTATCCAGTCCGCCAGCAGCATTGGCGGTGCGCGTACCACCTCAGACTCCGAGGATCCTGTTCAATGGGTCCCATGTGCTACCAGGCCAGAATATTACGGTCCCAGCTGGTTCTAGAGCGACTGTGGTCTGCGAAGCTAGATATGGAAACCCACCAGCGTATATCGAGTGGTACTTAGGTAAGATTTGCTTGTAACAAAATATCTCCTATGCGGAAACCAACCCACGACACGGAATATTTGTCAACTAAACCAGTAAAACTTAGTTTAATCATTCATTCATTTCCTTTTTCATATCAAAAACCATCATCTAAAACACGTTAACTAATGTATAGCTTATAACTTATTTGAAGTTACTTTAACTATGGCCCGACGTTTCGGATGCTTTGCAACAGCCGTGGTCAGTCTCAGCAAGTATAATAAGTTTAACTAATATAATATCGCGTTTTAAACCGTTAAAGTGTTTTGTTTAAATATGTACTACTCGCGTAAACTATAGGCAGTATTAAGGAAATCTATAATTGATAATGTTACATATTATTATTACTATTATTTAAATGAATACATTTTTAATGTTCTGTGCTACAAATAAAAAGCTGTATGATACACGTAGAATTTTTGTAATAAAACTTTAAACTTCGTTACTTGATCAGCAACTATACGAAATATTGTATTAAATGTTTTAAAGAAATATTAAAAAAAGTAAAATTAGGTTTATCCTCGGTAAAACAGACACATTTCTGTGACGTTATCTTTTACTGTTCAATATTTACAACCTTCCTATCTGGCTTATGTGTCCTACTCAACTGAAACTGTTAATTTTTGTTTTACTTTTAACGGTCACGTGGTCACAGGGGGTCGGCTCCTTCAATGCATCACCGTATTTAAAATAAATTAACTATGATACTTTAAACCGTTAAGAGCATTTTGATAGTTATTGTTTAAATGTGTACTAATAACGCAAATACATTCTTGTTTATTATTTTTCTGGGAGTTGAACTTAGAACTTCTCTAACCTAATGCTATCAATGAACTATTGAACGGTAACCAGTGAATTTCCCTCAGTTTTAACCATTTTCGACGTAAACTCAGTCACTTGTTGAACTAAACTACGCTCCTATTACAATCTAACGAAGCGTCAAAGTCCCGAAGCATGAATTATTTTCAAAGTGTTGTCGGCATCTAAAACAGTGTAACAAAACCACGAATAATTTAACACAAAGCATATTCTAGCTCGGTTGAAATTACCAAGAGACATAGGACCACCTGTTTTAGTCACCATACAAAGCTTAAATAATTTATCTTGTACGATCAAAAAGGATGTTCGTGGTTACTAATTTTATAAAATCAGCACAAAACAACGCAAAATAATTAATAGCTAGGTAATAGAACACATTAAAAAATCACTTTCAACGATTTAAAACGCGAAATGTATCAGTTAAAAACTTAAATATTTTTTACATTTGAAAACTTAAAAATCGGTTTAGCAGTTTTAAAGTAATTCAGACACAAACACTGACAGGAGAATTTAACGTAAGTGTTTGATTTTTACGGCACAATGCCGATATCCCTCTACGTTACCCGCGTTCAAATCCCAGCGAAATATAAAGGACGATACCTACTGATCCCGATGGACAAAATTCTATCAAATACAATTATTGTTTGTAGGACTAGCGATATTAACATTGCGAATAATTTTAACTTTATTTTATTAATTTCAGATAAGGAACGCTTAACGGCCTGGAGCCAAACCAACGCGTCCGAAGTGGAGAGACCCAGGGTGTGGGCGGCGCGTTCTGTGCTAGACCTTGGTGCCACTAGAGTTGCTCATGGACGACAGCTGGCCTGCCGATCGCACCATCCTTCATACCCATCGCCATACTATAGGGATTCTTATACAATGTTGGATGTTACTTGTAAGTAACTCAGATAAATTATTATGAGGGTAGTTTATACGCCGGTATATGGATGCTTATACAAAAATTTGTAAAGAAATTAGTCAAACAATTCACTCATGTTATTTATTTCATTTTATATGTTATTATATATTAATTTATTAGATCTTGTTCATAAATCAATTTTAAATTTGAGTGTTAAGTTTTAAATATTTCTAGTGTTTGTATTCCAACTTACATTAATTATTAAGGAGTGAATTTAAAGTTTTTGTAACAGATAATAACTTGCTAAATACGTACCTGGAAATAGAAAAATATCTTTCATTATTTCTATTTCACATTGGCTTTTATTAAAAAAAAGGAAATGTATGCTTCGGTTAGTTTAAGTATTACTCACTAGATGGTGTGAGGAATCGTAGTTTTTATTTCGATACAGATTATACTAAGACTTTCGAATGACATTTAAATAAACCAAAAAATATCCTAATAAATATAATTTAATTTTCAAACGTTTATTATATTTGCCAAAAATACAACCTCTACTACTTTTAATTTAATTTATAATATTTAATATTCTCTTTCTTAAAGGTGAAGAAGTTTTATGACCAACAACTCATCAACTTTAAGAAAACATTGGTTTAACATTATTAATATATTATCAATAATAACCATAATAATTACTTCAATATTCATCGATAAAGAAACAACACAATATTCGTAAAGTATTATTACTTTGACTTGGCCTTATATCTTCTTCTTATTTTCCAGTTGTACCTGTGGTGTCCATAGTTGGTTCAGATGCTAGCAGCCTAGCAAGTCTGGAAGAAGGTTCGAGTGCCCTCACCCTCGAATGCCGAGCCGATGGCAACCCGAGTCCTTACGTCTGGTGGACTAAAGATGGCCAGGTCATCGGCACTAATGGACCGAGGCTTATCAGGGCTCCGGTGTATAGAAATCATTCTGGTACGTGTTTCAAAAATCAATAGTCACGTAGGTCAGTAGCTACACTAATGAACGTCACATCACTTAAAATTAAAGACCCTAAATTTAATTTACTACCAGTTCTCAAATCAAGGGAGTAGAACGAACGAGAAGAAGTGGCAAAAAACTCGCCGTCACTCCTTTTATCGCCAAGTTTCATTTTACAGTCTTCACGTATTTTAAGCACACTACATATATTATCTTGTTAGGGTCGCTTCTTCCAAAACCTAAGCAATTTTTAATTGACGTCGTAATAACAGGATCAAAATGTCGCAATGATAAAAGTAAAATGTTGTAGGGCATGGAGCGAACACATGTCTCTGTCCGTTACACTGATGCATTATCGAAGTCTCTACTTGACTCGAACGGGTAATTTTTAAAGTAACCGTAATATCGCTCGCTACTTTTGCATGCAGTTTCATAAAATCCTAATTAATTTTTTTATCTCGTATCAAAGGTATCTACGGATGTCAGGCAAGGAACTCGTTGGGCACATCTGAACCTGTGAAAATAGAGATCGATGTTAAATGTAAGTTGTCTTCTGTCACTATCAGCCAGACCAAAACTATAACAGGTCTCATTAAGTAAAGTGCTTATCTTTGCCATAAAACACAATCTGAAATATTTTTAACTTCGTATAAGCTCTCATGTACATAAGACACTTATAACGGTTTAAAACGCGAAATATATTAACTGACTTATTTTAAAAACGGCCGATTTCGGATTCTTTCGTCGTGTCACGTTTTGAACCGATAGAAGTGTTGTATATATTTTAATTCGTACTACTCGCGTAAACTACACACAATACTTAATCGTTGTTATGATGGAACTCTTGGATTTCAGATCCTCCTCGCGTGATCTGGGTCGGTCCAGATACAGTGGTTGAGGCAAATCTATTCACCCAAGTTACTTTGGAGTGTAAGGCAGAGGGAAACCCAACACCGAGCTACCAGTGGTATCACAAGTAAGTAAGCTTTAATGTAATGGTGTTAGGAAAGGAATCTTACCAAAGACTAGCTGACATGGTAGACATTCTTTTGCCTGGCGGTTTAATTAGCATAAACACGGTTCGTGTGATTTCAACTTAAAAGATAAAGGAATACTATCACGGACATTTTTTTTAGATCATTTAAAAAAAAGATCTCCTATCTTATTTTTTTGGTTTCTTGAACCTTGCAGCACACGCAATAGAAGTCTTCAAATATTCTCCCGGTTATCTTTGCATTTCCCTTCTATTGGTCGCAGCCTGATATTTTATAGCCGAAAGCCTTTCTCGATATATGTTCTATCCAACAATTCAATTAGAACCAGTAGTTACCGATATTAGTGCGTTCTAACAGACAAACTTTTTAGCTTTATAATATCAGAACAGATACGTAACTATTTTTACCTTCTTAATATTCATTTAATGATTTTCTTTTAAAGATTTTTAAATATTGATTTTAAAACATGTTTAATATATTAGGTCACTTATTTAATATATATTTTAACTACAACCCGAAGGTCATCAAGTATTAAATGTACTTAATTTGTATAGATTACATAACATTTTAACAGTTTAAAACACGATCGAAGGCAACCGCTAAACATAAATTGCGTAAAGCACATAAAATGTCTGGTTGCATTTCTTCCAATATTCTAAGCAGACATAGGCCGACAACGCATCTTGTTTATATGCTATATGGCTGTTTTAACGGGTTAAAACCGTTTAAAACTACGGCCAATCAATATAAGTAACATTTTGATTACAGTCCATCACCATCCATGAACCACCCGGATGAAGGTTACCCAATATCATCCACCCCCCAACTGCAGCTTCACAACGTATCCTACACCCAGCACGGAAGGTACACTTGTGTGGCCATCAATCATATTGGACTTGAAGAGCGGTAAGTCTAAGGACCTGTTTTTTATTAATTAGTTTACTTAAAACTGGCATAGAAGTTAAATCCTCTATGTATGTGGCAGACATATTTCTGTGTCTCTTTCATTGATCAATTGTATTTGTAGGCGAATCGTTCTTATGTGCCCGTTCATCTAATTCGTAGAAACTCTCGCGCTAAATGCTATGTCAGAAAATGCTTTGATCCAGCAAAACGGTCAACAGGTTGATGCGCTGGTCTAATGGTAGCATTGTGTCGCTAATAATCAATGGGTCACGGGTTGATCCCCAATGGGACCAAAATCTTTCTAATCTATTTATTTTTTTTATGAAATATGTAAGATCTGGATACTTGTATATTATATGGGTGGTAGGAATATCGCACGAACCACCGTCCACAGATAAAAAATCGTGAAGGTTAATCGCATTTTGGTTTCAGTCTGGGCATTTCCGAACATCCAAAACCAAAATAGATTGACAGCGCATCTAATGTAGAGTTTACGTGGCTGAAGTATATCACCTTCCGACTGAATCTCACGCGTGCCTGCCCTCCTCTATATAAAAAAACATCATATATACATTTAAATAAAACACTTTAACGGTTTAAAACGCAATATATTAGTTAAACTTATTTTAAAACCGTTAAAGTTTTTGATTTAAATGTGTACTACTCGGGTAAACTATAGACAGTATTTAACATATATACAGTTTAAAATGACAGTAAGATGAAATTTAAAAAGCTTTTATGGTCCTGGGAGCTTTTATCACTTTTAAGAGATTGTCATTATGACGTTCCTAGTTTTATTAACTATTCATATTACATTTCCAGAACTCACCAATCAGAAGCGATCACCCTTAATGTCCTAGGACCCCCAGTGGGGGCAGAAACGGGCACTGCCCATGCTTGGAGTGGAGGGGAGGCGAAGGTGCAAGCTACTGTATGTGCTGATCCACCGCCACGAAGAGCAGCCTGGTTGTGGGGCAGCTTGAGACTGGATGTTCCTTCCTCTATCGGTATATTATATAATTCATACAAACTGTTTGTACTAGCCATAAGTTAGCAAAATCATTGCTATTAGTAGTGTTTTTTCAATAACATAACATTTCTGGGTCCGTTTAATTGTTAGGTTTACAAGTAAGTAATTTTATTTCCCCGGGAACTTATTTAACAATTTACTTATAATATTCAAATATTTTATAAGTAATCCGATCATTCTATAATGTAATAATACTATTGCCTGTAATTTACGCGAGTAATGCTTAAAAAAGTATTTTCAACTGTTTAAAACGCGATATATAAATCATATCATTGTTTTTCGGGCCGTTCGGCCGACGTGAGCGAGAAGAGGTTCTTGACGTTTCGCCATCACGAGCGGTCGGCATCATAAGGATTTGTTGTTAGCTCCTCGATTGCTCGAAGAATTAATTAAATTGATTAAATAATTACAATTATTATTTTTAGGTAAGTTTTGCTTTAAAAATAAGTGAACTAATATATTTCGCCGTTTAAACCGTTAAAATATGTTTTATTTAAACTATATTATGCTCTTAATATCATTTTGTATTCCGCAGGTCGTTACAAAGCTATCGATGCGACCAGTATAAACGGGTGCTACAGATACACGCTGACAATCAGTAGCGTCAGCATGTCGGACGCTCGGGTCTACGTCCTTCACGTCGAGAACGAACGGGGCTTTTCGTCACACGCTGTGTCCCTCACGGTGCATGGTTAGTTGCCTGAATTAATTCGACAGCTTATATACTGTATCAGCACCGTCATCCGCGTAATATAGTTATTTTGACAAAGCAAATTTGTTATTGCAAACCTCCTAATTAACTTAATAAATCTAAGTCGTTACCCACAACTTCGGTCGCGTTCCGTCGTTCTTTAAGGACATCTTAAAAGACATACCAGACATTATTTTTTGTATACATTGTTTTGGGTACACAAGTACAAGTACACATATATATAATAATTTTCTCCGTTATATCGATATGTCCTGCTAGCGAGAGCATTAGTCACAGTGCGACCTTTACCATCTGCGATTAATGCTCTAACACATATACATATCATATTTATCTATTAGATTGACAGTCGTGTTACTTAGATTTTATGTGGCTGAAATATTACACGGTCAGTCAAGTGACTCCGTATTTATCTATCAAATAAGAGACCATTGAATTTTAAGCTTTTTTGAAGCAGTCAAAATTCGTAATTAACCAAAGCAATCTGTACTGCTGCTCTAACCAATTGAGCTAACATGTTCTTCATCGAATTTCTCTCATTGATACAATGCACCTCTCACGCAATGTAATTTCCACCTTAATACTTGAGGTTTGAGGTTAGAAGTCCTATGCGTAATTACAGAGTTTAACTAGTATTATTTTCACATACGCAAATGATTTATACAACATGTAAAAAATTTAGAAAGTTTACATGAAATTGCGACAAGTATACTAAACACTTGCTTAGAGAAATAAAAAATATAAATTCACTAAAAAAAAGAGCACAGTACTAATTGGCTGAATTAACCAAAATAAAAAATGCTAAAATTTCTTCTCACAGATAATTTTTCGCTAACAGAGACCGCGCACGTCGCCCCGTTGATTGTGGCGGCGCTCGTGATCGCCGCACTGCTCGTGATTGTTCTGTGCCTCATATTGAGGTGCAGGAGGAGAAGGGGTAAGATTGGAATACTTTACAATCTATTAATTTATTATATAACAAGACAAGTGTGACAGGGTTCCATTGTAACCAAAAAAGTCATTTATGACAGTCTCGTTGGTGTAATGGTATCAATTTATGGTTAATCAACTGGTCGTGGGGTCAATTCCCACCGAGTCCAAGATTTATTCTAGTTTTAGTTATTTTAGAAAGTTATGTAACAAGTTTTACAATTTCTTTTACAGAAAGTGTCGAGTACAAAGCAGATGATTTAGATAAGTAAGTACTGTTTTTGTTATAGTTTTTATCGAAAAATAAGTTTATTTTTCAATTGTAACTTTCCCAGGAAATTTATTTCTATGTAAGATAGCTCAAGAAACTGTATTAAAGACAATTAAACATCCATTTTCACAACGTTTTTTAACAGCGAGAAGACAGTTTTACCAGCGGACGCAGTGTACGCTCCTCGTGAACAACCTCGGCCTCCTAATGTTCGAGGTGGAGGAGCTAACGTAGAAGCACCCGTGATGACGTCACGGTACTCCCCCGCAGCGCTCCAGGTGCGCCGCGCTGCCGTCGTGCTCCAGCCACCCACTACCGTGTGAACTGTTTGCACAGGTGTGATACGCACTATTAACTGGTATTGGGTTTTATTAGTGGAAGGATAGTGACGTAGGGTTAAGAGACGTGTTTTAGAACATTGTGGCACCCGGGGTAAATAGGGTATTATTAATAACTAGCTGTTACCAACGACGTTGTTCGTGTCTCGTGATTTTTTCAAGTTAATCTTAAAAGATAGAAACAATTTGTGGCGAACAATTTTTTGGATCTTTTAAAGAAGATCATTCTTATACATAGATATGTTTTGGGTATCTTGAACCGTTTACGTACGTTGCGTACGCAGCGGAAACCTTGAACCCATGAATAGTTTTCTCCCGTTTCTTCCACATTCCCCACAGTTCTTTCGCACCTTATCTAATCGTTAAGTTTCTAGCACAAAGCCTTCCTCAATAAATATTCTAGCCAACTCTAAAATATCTTTTTATTTTGATCAATTAGTTCCTGAGATAAACGCGTTTGAACAGACAAACAAACTCTTCAGCTTTATACATATATTAGTATAGAGTATTTTTTGGCCTCTAATATTAGACAGTCAAATTACTTGTCTTTTTTTTTCACGTTCAGGGGAGGTTGGAAATATAGAATTTGATTGTTCTGTAAATTGGTCGTACACGGTCCTTCTACCGTTACCGTTTTCAACCATACTCACATCTATTAATTTTTAGGGCATATTTATTGTTAGAAATTGCTTAAAACTCTATTAACATGACCTTCGTGTAAACTCTTAGACAATACATCGTTGTCAGCATGTTAGGTGTGGAAGCGATTATAGTTTTCGGTTAGGACTTAGGGTGCTTAGTAACTAGCGGTTTTAAATTAATATACGGATAAAAACTGAGTACACATATCGAAATGTTGTTTTTTTCGCGTACATTATACAAATCTGATTACAAGGAGTAACTATTATATATTGTTTAATATTGAATCGAATCTTTTTCTTAGTTGTTTTTTTATTAATTTATTATAAGTTAACGGATATAAAATTTAAACAAATATCATTTTGTAATTAATAACATCACGTTAAAATAGTAAGTTTTCATCCAGCTATATACAGTTTTAACTACAAAATATAAAATTAAAATGTTCTAGCAAAAAGTTTTGTTGAACATCGTTTTAGAAAGATATTATTTTTTAACTGAAACCAACAAATAAGCATCTTATCTTAACGCAGTTATCGCTTTTAATAAATAAAATCTATCATTCTAATAAATAATATAATGTGAAAAAAACGCTTAGTTTCTCGGCACCCCATTTTTTCTAAGACTCCATTAACATAACATCACACGCGACGCCATTATTCGAATAGTTTCGTCAGCTCGTTATTTCAACTTGTCACAATGATTCACAGTTAAAACGCGACGTTTAATTACTTTGTGTCGTTGGCTTTTAAGGGATTAACATATGAAGTAATCAATTTTACTATTGCACCTCACCTTGGCTTTTAAAGGTAATTTCGTGGACTCCTTTGGTCTAAATGGGGTTAAGGTTTGCTTTGAGTTACACATAATTAGAATAACTTAGTTAAGTAGCATCTTGAAAGAGTCAGAGTGAAGTTAAGATATCAAGTCGATAGTTACATTTTCACATAGTACATTTTATAAACAGTAAGTCAAACACTGTCTATAGTTTACGCGAGTAGTACACATTTAAATAATACACTTTAACGGTTTTAAACGCGATTTAGTAGTTAGCAAAAGTCTCCTCGTGACCACGGCTGATGCAAAGCATCCGAAACGTCAGGCCGAAGTTAAAAATCATTTTCTAATAAATTGAACTTAATCGCGTTTTAAACCGTTTAAGTGTTAGAACAGTAAGTTTTCGAATTACATTATACTTGAGCCAATAAGTAATCTTGTGTATTCCTTTGTAAATTGAAATACTATTTTTGGTAATGCGGACGACGAACACCCGTCGCTTCTCCCATGCCCCGCTGCTGTTCCTCACTAAATTTGTCAAACCTTTCAAATGTAACATTTTATATTACACATGATAGCAGAAATTTGTATGTTATAGAAATATCACTCTCTGTTTTGTACCCGCTTTTTAGACACTAAGGCAAATAACCAAATTTGTTTCCTTTATAGGCCGCTTTGTCGTCGCTAGAGAGAGAAGCCAAAGAAAATGTATACGCGGTACTCGACCCGCATATACAATACGAGTTATCGATAAACAAGCACGGCGAACCGCCCAAATATTTATCGCTGTCAAAGCCTCTAACTCACCAAAGAACGCACGCTTTCGATCCGCTAAATTTTAATGAAGTTAATAATAACAATATTAAGTTTACCACATTCAGACAGGAATCCAGAATAAGAAAGTCCGATAGGAGTAGCAAAAACAATAGAAATAAGAATCTCGTATGTAATAGCAATTTTGATATAGAGTACTCGAGAGATCCCCTCTTCGGTAAAGCGAAAGGTTTGGATCCAAATTTAGACAGAAACAGAATTCGCAAAAGCAAGCGCAGCGCTTACGAAAAAAATATAGCAGGAAAACTTAGTAATGTACAAATTCACGAACGAGCAGACAACAAAAAAGAAGCAGCCAAACCTCATAGACATGATATAAAGGATTATTACAATGAAAAGGAACGATCGATAGAAGATATAGAAGAAAGCAAAGTACAATATGACAAAATAGAAGAAGAATTCATGCCCCGTAAGGGTAAAGTTAAAGAAATTGCCTCGCGATTTGATCGAAACAGCGTGAACAACTTGAGCAAATCAAGCAACGTTAGGAACGAGAGACCTAAGCCTTTACAGAGTTTTTGTGATCAGAAATATTTAGACCATGTGTTCCCAGATGCTGTAGAAATTTAGAATTAGGTATAAGTGATGTAAATGTACTTAGATCTCCTAGTGTTACGTACGAATGTGAGTGTGCCCGAGGACCTATTTCAACTCAAGTATAAAAAGGGTTACCAATCAGAGTAAGAATAAATTCATTCTATAATTTATTATATATTATCAAACCACAATACAATATAATCTTGTATGTGATGCTAAGAAGAGGCCGATTGAGGGCTTTTTATTGAATAAAGAATTTCCTAAAGCACTGCCTAATATTGCAATATTACATTTCTACTTACATAAACACCAACTACTGTCATGTAGCAGTGTAGTTTTAAGCGGCTACTGGCCCAGCAATGGGTCAAAATGTCTTGGTCTGAAATCGGTCTTCTTACTGCCCAGCCAAGTAAATTTATATTTTCATCGTCTGTCAGTGCTTAAGAAAAGAATTTAATATAGCGCTTTTACGGCACCAAACAATAAAAATATAAATTGTAAGGCCCTCTAAGACTTTCGCTATTTACTTTATATTCTCCCTATATTATGTATAGATATTTATAAGGATATGCCATATCAATTGAATAAGTAGTCTCGATCATGACAAATTTAAACATAGCACAAATTTTTAAATGCATTTCGTCTACGATACTTTCGCTTCGTATTGTACTTATCGTTTCTTCCATTTAATTTATTATATATGTTTACTGTGTATAGATAAAGTGGTTTTTGTATTGTTGAATTTTAACAGTATTAAAATTTTTAATTGAACAATCGTGTTTATATTTCCCCTGTGCCTCCATTTAGGGCGATTAAAAACTGGGAAACATAAATTTCATATTCAGTTTTAGTTGTAGCTGCAAACTTAACGCTTGCAATGTTGAAATTATTAGTTATTTTATCACTGTGTGCATTGGTTACTTCAAGTGTAACTTTAAGTAAAATAAACTTAAGATTACCAAATACTTGTAGTAGTAATAAGTGTTTGAGTAAATGTTGTCCTTTTGGCATGGGTGTCCAGAAAGTGCTAAGACGAATTGGATGTGTTCATCTCTCGAAACCTGATTTGCTAATAAATAATAAACAGGCTGTACATTTTATGAACGAGGTGGTAGAAGTTGTTAATGTGACAGAGGAGTTTGAAGTTCTCTACGGAATATCCTGTTTGCGGAAGCACGTTGAGAATAACAAGTTCTATCTACAATGGGTGAGTAGATTACTTTTACGTTTTACTCTATCAGTGGTGATAAAATAAATGATTACTTCATTGACAAATAATTGGTTATGATGCATTAACTTGGACTAAATTTGATTACCATTGATGTAAATGAATCACCAAGGACAGACATATAAGATCGCTGAAATTTTATTAGATCATTTAAAAGATAATCATTCTTCCTTAACTAAATATTTTTATAGGTCATTTGAACCGTAACAGATAACAGGAAGACCTCATAGATGAATAAAGATTGATGAATAATTTTCCCCGTTTTTTCCACATTTTCCCTTTTTTTATTCGCTCCTATTGATCACAGCGTAGGCTTTTTCGACAAATGATCTATCCAACATAAATATATTTTTAAAATTCGAACCAGTAGTTTCTGAGATTAGTGTGTTCAAACAAATTAACTCTTCAACGGTATAATATCAGTATATATATGCATTACAGAGGTTCACTTAATAGAAAATACTTGTCTGGCCTTTTCTATAATAAAAAAATCTAAAGCATACATCGAACTTTTAACTAAAATGTACTTGGCTAATAATTTATACCATCATAAATTTTTATTGTAACATTAACCACAAACTATTATGTAATTACTTTTCTATTAATATTAATAGATTTTATGCGTTTGAAGCGTTTAATAACTTCCATTGTCGGGTCATGAGGTTAATTTGTATGTATTAAAACTAGGCCGCGTTCCTAACTAGATCGTTCTAAAAAGTACCTACTGTTTGAAAACTTTCAGAGCAACAGCACGGATCGCTGACGATGCCGGTTCAAGTCCTGCCCGAGTCGAATTTTTTTAAATTTTCGATTTTTAAATTAATTAGGTACAGTCTTATTTATTTATTTATTTAATCATTAACATTACATTGTCATGACAGGTGGAAGCCCAATTCGACACTTATGATTAAAGGGCTAGGTTCATTACTGCCCTTTAGGCTGTATCCACTCCTAAAAAATATAATATTATATTTTACAGACTGCTACTACAGACCTAATACTCTAAAAAAAATGTTTAAATAAAAAAAGCAATGTTTGTAGGATAATTTGGTATTGTTCTGGCTTTTATTATTTTTTATTTACAATTGAGTGTCTTTTTGATAAGTTCTATTTAAATGTGTATGGAATTATTATATCTATAATTATTATATTAATACTTGTGCCACAAACTGTATTTTAAATTAAATTTTTTTTTTTCTCCTTTGATTTAATTACCGACTTATAACTAATATCTGTTAATTACATAATTGGAAATTAACACATACGACTAGAAATATATTTTTGTAAATTATTTTGATTGATATTTAAAAGAAAGCAAAGGTAAGCCATAAAGAAATTGTATTAAATGCGTATTTTGGTCTAAAACGTGGTGTCGTAGTTTAAAATAAATAAAAATAACTATAGACGTTATGGACCGTTGAAAGTGTTTTAATGAAATAGGTATATCTAATTGAAAAAGCTTCCGATATATACACTTATACAGCTATCTACATATTCGAATTGACATTTAATAACTTATCCGTTAAACTTATTAATTTATTAATATTTTTCTAACAATTTCGACTCCCGAGTGTACAAGCAATAGGAGTGTCAATTGGTAAGTAATCAATCAACAAATTAACAGACGAAAATACTAGCAGCGTCACTCATTTCCATTCCATTTACCACGGCCCACAACTAACCTAGAAAAAAGTGCACAGGATCTATATTAACGGCATTGAAAAATCCCCGATTCGGATTTTGGAAAAATCCTAGTTACTCTCGAATAAGGCAAAGATAGCTGTAAAAATGTCTAACAATAGCCCAATTCTTTGTCGAACTATTGCTAATTATGAGACCACACTGCTTGTCGACCAGTGTTCTAGACGGGCAGAGAACACCAGGTCGGTGGAATTTGCTTGATCTTTATCTCATCAACCAATTTGGTTTGGAACAGATTGCCTAAAACAGGTTAGGACTCTATAATTCTCTTTAAAGCATCCGAAAAGTCGGGCCGTGTTTGAATTAGTGCAAACGTTTTTTAGTTCCTTGTTCTGACACTTGTAGTGTTGTAGTTTTAACCGTTGTACAAAATTGATCTCATAATTAAAATAATAACTCATAGAAATTAAATATTTCATTTACCACAGCCACACGTAATCCTTTAGCCCGTGGTTAATATAAATTAAAAATAGACTATTATTTTCGCGCTTAAAACCGTCTAAAATGTTTTATTTAAGAGCTTAAGACCATCATTCATTAATAAAATTGTCGATAGTGTGTCTTGGATATGCAATTGTCCGTGACTTTGCAGTCCAAGTGAGTACTATTTCCTTAACTAAACCATGTTTCGGTCGGGCAGGGCACAGAAGTACTTTCCTATGACACAGTAGATTAATTGGTTAGAGCGGCACGGAACTCTGTGGATACCGTTTGAGTCTCGTTTCGTATTTTTCTTTCATTTTAAAATTATTTTTTATTTATACTAACCTGTATAAAATTAGTAAAACGGACAAAGAAATGTGTCGCCCCACGTCCCACGGGGGGAAACCGCTTTAGCGAAATGTAAGTACTATATTTCCAACGAATTAATATTATTGAGGTGTTCTTGTGTTAATAGATAGAAGTTACTGGCTGTAGACATGCGATGTGACTAGAATTATTAGAATTGAATCGTGTTTATAAAACCCATTTCGAGACACGATTATTCCGAAAAGCTTGCGTCACCGAATTAACAATATTAATTATCTTTACAGCTTAAAAACGTGTCTTTAAATAAAAAATCATATACTAATAATTAACATAGACTGTCTCGATGACTTAGTGATTAGTCGTTCGATCGAGAGGTTCAGGATTCGACCGAAGTTTTACTTCGATTGGTGTTTGCTTGGAGTTTGAAAGCGTGACGTGTACGACCCGACGATTTTAGTTATAATTTATTTTTCACACAAGTTCGCCAATGTTATATTTAAATAATTTGAAATGAAGTATTTGAAATCTTTAATATTATTTTCGCCTGTAGTGTGCAAAATATATTTGTGTAAACTAATTTTTAATACGAACATTTAGTCACACATTCGAGGTCCAATAAGAATTCCAACTGCCATAACGAAACAGGTGGCAGCTACCGTCACGTACAGTACAATTTTGCTCCTGCAAATAATCCGAAACGTCTAGCCGTAGTTCACTTTAATTAAAAATAGAATATAAGATTATCAATATTTATTACAAACATGTAAATCATCTCTAGAATAAAAAGTGGATACGCTAGTCGTGAATTCGAGGACTCCCTGTGCTATTTTTACAATTTCTCACAAAACGCTTTAGTAAATTGTAGCTATTTCAGGCATCATATACATAAATGTAGTAAGCTAAAATCAGTATTGAAATAAGTTTTTCGGAATTGAATGAAAAGGTTTTAAGGAAATAAATAGTATTCTTTCGATTAGGATACTTACAATTTCAATAACATACCTACAACGATGTAACTTTACATTTTTTTTTTTATAACTTGCATACTTATTCATTTGTGGCTAACGTGAAAAATCACGTGGTGCTCAAAAAAGTTCCTATGTTTACGGTTACGTAATTTTTACCGTCTGACAGGGTACAGACGTCTAACCTACTTGCTAAGTAAAATAGATCAGTGAGACGGACAGAGAAATTTGTTCATCCTCTGTCATCGATTCTTATATATCTAAGTTATAAGTAAAGAACTAACCGACGGAGTTCGACAGCAAACTAAAATTGCGTTGTTCTGTAAAATTTAAATCGTGTTCACGGCTGCTGCAAAGCATCCACAACGTCGGGCCGAAGTTAATAATCATTTTCAAATAAGTTTAACTAATATATCGCGTTTTAAACCGTTAAAGTGTTTTATTTAAATGTGTACTACTCGCGTAAACTATAGACAGTATTTAATGTTCTGTAAAATGTTATGTCTGACGAGGACAGACTAGTCCACTCTCGCCAAGCTATTATATGTAAACAAAATGTGTCATCGACCTACTTCGTCTTCCGAAATCGACAGTCTGAAACCGAAATAAAATCAAACTTCACGGATATTATTTCCTTTCAGATGTACCAGACGAAGACAAACATGTTTCAGTAAAATATAAATCGATTAGAAACATGTTGGACATATTGGGGGTCGAACCCACGACCCCTGATTTATGATCTCTGATTTAAAATAAGTAAAATGTAAAAAAAAAAAATTTTTTAAAACAATTGTTGTAACCAATTTTATTAAGAAACGTTAAAAATGTTGTGCATCTTATCGAGAACGATATTGAAATCGTGGTCTAAATTAAATATAGTGTAGAGGACAGTTATTTATAAACGAGCCCGTATCTATACTTTGTGGTTTAATGACATATATAATGGCGAGAAACCGAAAAATTCTTGATCAATTTCATGAAAAATGTTGATTGTTGACCTTACTTATATAAAAAGTGCCAAAAACTTTAATTATTTATGTAAGAAAGTTCTTTAATTCCTTAAATAAAAGTGTAATAACCCACTAATCTTTATAATGCATTTAATTACAATATGGTACTAAACGAGTGGTTAAAAATCAACTTGTAAGTAAACCAACAGACAATTAAATCAAGTCAGTAAGTATTGATAATGATTAAAACACGAAACGTCAATAAAAATGTGTTTTAATTGTTATCATTATATTATATACTTAAATAAAACACTTTAACGGTTTAAAACGCGATATATTAGTAGTGTCTCCCCGTGACCACGGCTGCTGCAAAGCATCCGAAACGTTGGGCCGAAGTTGAAAATCATTTACAAAATAACTAATATATCGCGTTTTAAACCGTTAAAGTGTTTTTTTTTAATGTTTACTACTCGCGAACACTATAGACAGTATTTATATTATATATTTTCAGAAATCCTAAATCGTAACTATAATTTTATTTTTATTCCTTAAATCAACGAAAATAAGTAACATAGGTAATTTTACTATTTTTATAAATCCCTTTATACTGTGTTCGACTACGGTTTTATTGTAATACTTACAGCGAAGTGGTCTCACAAAATTTATCGCCGCACCGCTAGTTAAAAATAAAATACACTCTCATCGTATTTTCTATGAACTAGAGAGTTTTACTTCTCTAGAAAAGTGCCATACGATCAGCAATAAAATGTTAAATGATTATTAATAATCATGCAATAACAAGTCAAGTTATCGCAGTTTTAACCTGAATTGTTTTTGTTGATAATTATGGTGGTACCTAATTTGTTTATAAAATTTTATTTTTCTAAGTGTTAATTTTTTTTGCCGACCGTAATTTCATTGAAAAGGTTCAGGAACTAAGGCCGATTACAAACAGTCTAGGTCTCATAAAATAATGACAGTCACACTACGCTCTTAAACCCGTACACTTGTATAGCGCGAAACCGCGTCACAGACTAAAAATCCGTGCAGATTAAAAATAAAATATGTTCCGTCTATTATTGATAGTTATTTCTTTTTTTAATGTGAACGGCCAGCTGTGCGGCGTCGGTGACAGATTGGACTTAACAGATTCCGAAACATTCACAGACGGCTCAATAGTCAAAAACGGAATACGTTTCCCGCCAAAATATGTTTTCTCGCAAAACGTGAGCGGCGAAATAAAAACTTTCGGATGTCCATGTGAATTCAAAACTTGCTATAAAAAGTGCTGTCCGCTCGGGAAAGTGTTCCATAAGTCCGAAAATGCAAGCGGCTGTGTGGAAATGTATGATGTTTTGCAAAGTGCGGGGATGAGATTGCATTTCTTTGATAATTATAAGCGGAGTGTTGATTTGGCGGGAAGTGGAGAATTCGTGTTATTAACTGGTATACCCTGTGATGGGGATGTTTATATTGAAGATGGTGGACCGTGGTACGTACAAGAGGTGAGTATTTTATGTTAAACTTTAATAGATAACTTATAGGTAAGAATTGCAAAGCAGAAAGTCGTACTCTAGTGTGATACAATTTGCTATTATACCTATCTATGCAGAATAAACTTACGTACAATTATTTCGATTGTTTTTGTCAGCGTGTTTGTTTATCTTTGCTCGTCACACGTAAGTTATAAATTTATAAAGGATGAGTATTTCAGGCATACGTTAATATATGCTCACAATTTGTTTGTTTATTAATAATCAAATTAAAGAAGGAAGTGGTTCTATACATTATTGTTCGTGATATCATTATAGATACTCTTAATAAAAAAAAGAGGTGCATGAACTTTGAGAGGTTGAAGAAATTCGGTGAGGTTTGACAGAATACGGTCGCTTAACTGGTTAGACCAGCACGGAACGCTGTGAGTGCCGGTTCAAATCTCGCAAATTTTTAATTCAATGTATTTCTTTTAAGAGAATGTATATCATAAAATACAGGTAAAACCCAGTGACCAGTAAAAATAAACAAACAAATTCATTGCAAATAAAAGACAAGTTCCAAAGTGGTTTGCGCGATTCTTTTTATATCTGCGTCCTATAGTTGAGGTCAGCGGTATAAGATTAGAAGCAATTATCTCCATATTGGTTGAGGAACTTCTATCAAGGAATTAATAGTAGGAATATAATTTTAAACTTCTTGCCACTTTGTACGTACAAAAAATTGCAAATATTGCAAATAAGTGCACGAAAAGAAATTTAGTTCCTTGGTTAATTTTTACGTCTTTCAAAACGAAAATAAAATACTGGAGAAATAAAAATTTTAAACATTTCTGAAAAACCATCGCTCTCACAAAAGCAATAAAACTTATTTGTTTCTATACCTATAGTTCTCTATAATAATTTAATAATTTAAAGTAGAAGTTTTAGTTGTAAATATTTATTACAGTCTTAAACAAAATAATACACTCTCGAACGGTCAGCAGTATTAGTGTTTTGTTTTTTTTTTATTTTGGGTCTGTGATTTGATTCATATGCTATACTAGCTGTTGCAGTGACTTCGTCAGCTAAGAATATTTATTTTGGGCATCCAAATTCGTTTTTGCAATCCCCTTTATATTTATAAACTTAATCTGTTACCACGTTACCCGCGATTACGACATCGCGTCCCTTCTTATCGTTGCAAATGTACCGTCGCGGACTTTTTTAAAATTATTTAAAGAGAAATTACTCTCTCATATATATTTTTTGGATATCTTGAATCGTTCTGCAGCCTACGCCTCGAAAACCCACAAAGATGAAAAATTTCCCCCGTTTTGTTCACATTTCCCGCTGTATCTTCTTATTCTTGTATTCTTTTATTAGTAACACGGCGATGTTTTATAGCCTGTAACCTTCCTTGATAAATGTTCTAACCAACTCAAGAATTCACAAAAACTCTTCAGCTTTATATAGAAGTAGATATATAATATGATGTGTCAAACCACTGACCCAAAATCATAAGTTAAATGAACATAGTGTATGTTATTGTATAAACTTATGATACAACATGTTAGTTGACAAAATTACGCAATATTCCCCTGAGCGTGATATAAGAGTGGATAAAAAAACTACATTTTGGCATACTGATAAAATGATAAAACAATTAATACATAGCAATATTGATAACTTTATCTCTACTCTAACTTGCGAAACAGTACGGGCTTATGTTACAAACCATATATGCATGACTTATATAAAAATTCTACGTATAGTACTTTTTCTCTTAATAGGTAAATCATCTCTTGTTTTTTAAGATACTCTATTTAAAATCTTAATATTCAAGTATTCACGTTGGCTGGCAATACCAGAGTGCAATTTTTTTGTTTTTGACTAATAACTAAATAAATATACCTTTAACAATTACTCAATAAATAAACTTAAGCTTCTGATATTAAATTAGTATAGGCAAATAGGCTTCTGCCTACACGACGGAAACTATTGTTTAGTCGAGATTCGAACCCAGGACCTATCGCGATTAATGCATAGTTAGGCAACGTGTTTTATTTAGGTTATGTCAATTACAAATACAATAATATATTGATTTAAGTTTTTCTATGCATTCAAGACATCCGGTTTAATTATATGCATATAAACGATTGTATATTTTCCTTATAATTCTTAAGCAAATGTGGACTTGTCTTTTCTAGGTTATATTTCTCAATCGTCTTGTTCTAGGCAATCTGACATTTGCAGGTTGCTCTCCCCAATCTTAAATTATGTAAGTAAGTGTAATAAGTAACTTAAACAATTAATTTTACTGGTTACTTATTGCAATAAAATTGGGCAAAATATTGTTGGCTTAGTTTCTTGTCTGTGAATTATTAACTATAGATATATTTTAATGTATATAAATATATATCGCTTGCATGATTCAATGTTTAAAACGCATTGTGTTCGCTGCGAAAGAAAACATGCTGGACACGGTGGGGATCGAACCGATGTCCCCTTGATTATAAGCCATACATTGTTACCATAAGACCAACGAGTTCGTTAAAACATGTGTAAAAGTATAATTATAGCGATAGTTATACAACTCGTGCACAAACAACTGAATTACTAATAAACAAACAACTCTAAATTTATTATCTGTAGCCATGTTTCTGCTGCAGTAACACGATTATAATCTGTTAAACACAAATGATCATAATATAAAGGATTATATGACTTTTTAAGTTTTATATTATCAGAATGCAAAACAGGATACGGAAGTGTAGATATCATCAGGACCTTGGAAATGGCGTTGTGGATTACACGCACGACAATAATTTACTGGTACGGGGTTGGGTTTTCTATTATTTCATATTGTTTCTGCGTCAGTAGAATTTAAATTTAAAGCAAAAGATTTCAGAAATGTAATATTAGTATCAATTTCTATGTTAAGGGCGCAGATGGCAGAACGAATAAGAAGAATTGGCAAGAAACTCGCCACGAGTTAGATATATTTTATGTAAGGACTTTTTGGTAATATGTATTTAAGAAATGATAAGCCTATAAAACCTGTCTCTGTTATAGGATTTCACTCTGTATTTTCAATTATTAATTCAGCATCCAATATAATTTTCGACGGTTTAACGATATCAATATATGGCTTATAGACAACGGGTCGTGGGTTGGATTTTTATCGGGTCTAACATCTTTTAAAAACCAACGCTAAATTCTCTATCATATACCTAGACTTCGGCTAAAAAATTAAGATATTAAGTGGGTAAAATTCAGTGTCAAGAACAACCATCCAAAGGTGGAAAAGATATTTGTTTCAGTTCCAGACACTGATCGTCTGAATATCCATAGACAAAGGTCGACAACACATCAAATTAGATGTTATATTGCTGAGGTGTTTTACTATTTCCCTAGAGAATCCCACATAATTAATATGTATTGTATTAAATAGCCAAATTAATTTCTGTTATTGCAGAGCTAATAAACCAATCGGCACATCAAGAGTCGAGGTTAAAATGTCAATATGATTTCAGAACCAATTCATTGATATTGGGTTACGTTATGGTTTATTGAGCCATTTATCACTGAAGCCGGTTTATTACCCTTCTAACAGTGTTTTATGGTTGTTACAGACAAGCAATTTTAATAGAATTATAATAGTTTTTATCGTATCAATTATAGAAAAGTAATATATGTGTGTAAGTTTTTTAATAAATCCTTTTTTAAATACTGTCTGTAGTTTAGGAGTACACATTTAAATAAAACACTTTAATGGTTTAACGCGATCCACGGTATAAACGGTTTAAAATATGCAAACGCGAAGAGATAGTTACATACAGTAAGTCTAGTAGTTTATACTACAGTATATCTTTTCACACTATACCGTTAAACATTTAAGAAATAAGGAGCTTTATTTATAGTTATGGATCATTCGGCCGCCCTTAACCCAATTTTATTCAGTATTAACCACTTCGTGTTATTTTCGCGCCAATATTAGACAGAGCGCGCATTTTATTTGAAATTCCTGTACGAATAAAAGTTTACAGTCTCATAATCATTAATGACCTGTATTGTTTTTTTTATGACAGAGGAAGGCAAACAAACATGTACATATTGAAACAACGCGATTAAAATTCACGGCTTTTCTGCGGGCGTTACCCAGACGGAATTTCGCTATTCTTATCACTAAAAATAGATGTTGTACCCGGCGGGGATCGAACTCATGGCCCGTTGATTAATGGACGCACGAGCGCTCCATATTATATATGCATAATGTAATTTGATAAAATGTAAAAATTCCTGTCGTGTGGCCACATCATTTAATTTTGAGGTTTGGAATTCAAACAGCTTTTCGTATAAAGTTTATAATATTTGAAAACATAATATTTTTCACATGTTTTGCACATGAAAGGCACTATATAATATAAAAAATCGAAAATAAATTGAAAAAAATTTTAAATTCGATTTTTTAAGTTAATAATATATAAAATTCGAATCCCTGGTCACACGATATGACAGCAAGATATAACATCCACTACCGACGTATAACCCCCATGCGTCTCCGACGTTGAAGCAGCCAGTCCCAGTTTTCATCACTTTCTTAGTGGCTACAGTTACAAAAGCCAGTTAACCTGCACTGAGGGAGCATGGTCAGTCTAAATCCTTGGTGGTACATTAATTACTTGAAACAATATGCAGTATCAAGCCACATAAATAATGTATTGTTTACATCTATATCTTATTTAGAAATAAATTATAATAATGTGGAAAATTTTAATTTGCGTACTCTTTGTTTTAATTAAACACGATTGAATTAATATTTATTACACAACGATTTTCTTACGGTAGTTAAAAAATTCTTACAACAATTAGAAAAGGCAATTGGTGTTCTCTACTAGGGTATCGTTTCTTGCCTATATCTAGAATAATTATTTCGTTTAGGAACAAATAGCGTTGATAAGTTACTAATATTTACTTGTATTTGCGCGAGTAATTGTTTTGTGTACAAAATACAACACTTTTAACAATATAGATTAAAAGTCGATTAT